CTACCCACTTTCTCCATAATGGATGCCTTGTTAAGAAACTACCGTTTTCAACCATTGTCATTACTCCCATCGCTTAACTTCTTGCAACCGAGATTCTTAGATAGTGAAATGTGATAAGATTACCCATTAATTGCTTCAATGACCGTTGCTTTGAATAGCAATCAAAATACTATATTCGCCTAGATCTTAGGCGTCTCATAGGCCTGAACGATGATGGACTCGCCCAGATCTTGGGCGTCTGGGCATTTCGTATACTTGAGCGATGATGAACCTCCACTACATAACTCAGTCTTGAGTTTTTATATGGTCTCGCTTGGGTCCATCCTTCAAATTTCCTAACTGGTCTTCATTCTTTGGACCGTTTAATTGGGCCTTATTTTTGTATGTCAACAATTACCCCCCAATATGGCAAAATTAATATCAATTATTAATCTTATTCCATATTCCTCCTTTATATTTTCCCGCGATGCTTGAAATTTCAAAAGGGCGGAGAATCCCAATCATTATTTTCGTTTGGCGGTGACCCTCTACGTCTTGAAAAGTGTAATATCACACAACTCCTATAAACCAAAGAACAGGCCACTTCATCGCGCCATTATACCTACGTCTTGCATCGCGCGCTTCTTTTTTACCTATAAAGATCATTGTTCATCTTCTTTCTTCTTTGTTATGCTTCTCAAAAATCCTCATGAAGACTGTAATTTGTAGTAAATGGCGACTTCACAGAGTTCTTTCTACAACTCACTTAGTTTCGAAGACTTCCATAACCTCCTTACCAAACCGTACATAAATCCAGCTTCCCTTTCGCCAGCCAACATTGACCTTCATGAGTTCTACCGAGGTCCGTCATTTAATGATGCCGAATCTGTTGGGCAAGCAGGGGACAGTTATTCCCTTGCACTCAAGATCCTCCTTTTCTGAACCCTTTTCCTCTAAAGCCAATCCTTGAAAAAGATATTCGTACTTGGCCCAAAACTGATACTACTTTCCGTCTTTGGCATGCACGTACGACCAACCATGGCCCTATCAAGACAATTTTTGATTGTGCTAATATTTTTGATTTGTTAGAAATCGCTCTCCGTCCCCCAATCTATGACCCTGTGCTTTTCCCTATTGCATTGAGCTTTTGGTCTTCAGAATACAAT